GCCTAAGATCACTCAATTCTGACATCATTAAGACACTCAAATGTCCATTAAATGTTGTATGATCAAGGGAAGCTCTCCGGACCGTCCGATCAAAATTGTTCATATTTTGCATTAATGACACCGAAAATAATATAAATAGATCTCTACCCCTCTCATGAGAGGGGGAGGGAGGCCTTGGGAGAGAACTTTAGGCTTTGAGAAGGAGCTGAAGTCCAACACCACCGCCGACCGCCGTCGACCCCCGCCAATCGATCGCGGGCTTCTGCCGACTGTCGTCGACCACCAATGACCACCGTCAACCACCGCTGGCCGCCGTCGAATACCACCGACCGTCGTCGACTACCATCGACCATCGACGACCACCGCCGGCCACCGTCGTTTACCGCCGATCACCGCTGACCCCCGTTAACTACCGTCGACCACCGCTGACTAGACGCCGTCAGTCGATGTTATAACTTGGAAAGCTAGTAACCATTTCCCGTATGTGGGACAAAGGGTCTCTGTAATCATAAATCAATAGTGGATTTTCGCAATTGGGTCAGACCCCGTGTTTTTTTCTCTTTCTGGGTTTTCCACGTAAAAACTTCTGGTATCATCACAAGTTGATTTTCTTTCATCTGAATATGTGTTGAATCCTCATGCAAAGCTAAGACGATAATACATTACTCTACCGCCACGAATTTTCTGGCACACATCAGTTTGGTGTCTTCTGTGGGAAACGAAGTCTTGTTCGGCATTGTCTTCAACTCTAAGAAGTTGATCCCCTACTTTGTTTCCTAATGATGTATATCATCCAACTAGCTAAGGAACCTCCTTTACGTCTTGAAGATCTTCTCAGAAGCATTCTTCCAGGCTGAGGGGCAACCTTCACTGCAGTCTCAAAAAGTCGTTCACATCAACGTCCCGAGCACGATTGTAATGAAGTTGTGTTCCCGCATCTTATTCAGACACAATATTTCACAATTTCTTCTAGGCTGGGGGGCAACCTTCACCGTTGTCTCGAAAGTTCGTTCATGTCAACGTCTCGGGCACGATTGTGGTGGGGAAATCATCCCATATTTTATTTAGTTTATAAGTCTTCGAGAATCTATCTTGGACTGGGGGGGCAATCTTCATTGCAAAAAACGCTTCCTCAGTGTCCCCTCATCGTACTGGAGTTCCTCTTCAGCTAGACCAAGAAGCTGATCTATTCAAGGCCCAATACTTGTGTTGTTTTATAAGCTTGTATGGAAAATACCCCCGCTGGGAGAGCAAAAGATTCAAAAGCAGTAACTAACAAAGTGAGGTCAACAAAAGTTATCAAACATTTTTTTTTAGTATGACTGCAACCATATTCCCAAAAAAAATATACGGTTCATTGCGATCTACGCTATAGTCTCGAGAAACACAAAGCATCTCTGACACCTCATTGTAGGCTTAATCGATCTCAAGGGGACTCAATTCGACTTTTTCCAATAGAGGCTACTGTCGTCAAGCAAAAGCTTCGACATACAACCTCGGATAGGTCAAAACTCCTCGGTGGATTTTCTTCAAACTCTTCCATAACAAGTTACGGTCGTCAAGCAAAGCTTCGACCAACAACCTAGGATAGGTCAACCATCCTCAGCGGATTTCATATGACTCTGTTCATTACGGGTTAATACCGTCGAGCATCTCCGGTTATACAACTCAAAAATGGTCTTACATCCTTATTGGATTCTCCTTTCAGCCAATGCCCCTGAAAGTCAAGCTCAAGAGACAAGACTCAATGAGAAGCTACCATGCCCCAAGAAGACAAGCCCAAAAGGCAAATCTCGATAGGATGCTAGCATTGGACAGAGACTGACTAGAAATACTCCATGAGAGCAAGTGGTTGACAGGGTCTCTACTTGAAGACCTCAGAAGGCTACAAGCCACAGAAGATACCAATTCAAGCTCCTATAAGACATAAGTTAGATGGGGCATAACCCCAGAAGCCCTGAACCACAAAAGCCTCAAAAGCAACGTAAAAATCATACAAAGAAATACATTATCATCATTTATAAATGTTACATCAGATGATTAAAAAGACTACAAATACCAACATAAGGGCTACAACAGATCAGCTCATCTTCAAGCAAAGTTGGCATCGCCTCCCCAAATTTCTAGTACTTCTGATGATCGTTAGGGGGGTCTCTAGATATTGTCACCACATAAGCATGAAAATCTTCCCCTCAAAGCGCAACAAGAAAGTTACAACATTTCTTCATCACCTCTGCAATGCACGACATAAACAAGAAACAATATCTCATTGCTTGTTTGTTACGCATGGTGGGACGATTTTCCTCTTCACTGCAACAAGAAAGGAGATTTCGCTGATTTCCTGCTACACAGGGCGAGGACGACATTACTAGGCACAACAACTCCGCACCGTAACTAGGCACCGCAACTTTTTGTTGCAACTTTGCACCACAATTTGGCACTACAGCTTTTCACCGCTATGCAGAACGATTTTCTTATTGGGAAATCATGGTCTCAGATGATAGTCTTGAACTCAATGCGTCCCCGCGATGCCCTGTTGCAACGCGTTTCCACGACTCGCCGCCACGACACCCCGTTGCAACGTGTTTCTACTACACTCCGCCACGACGTATCATCACAATGCACCTCAATAACGCGTCGCGTCGCCCCCACCGAGCCGCCGTGCCGCCCCATGGCAACGCGCCGCTGCGACCCCCCGCCGCAACGCCCTGGCGCAACGCGTCGCCGCTACTCTACCACACATCTCTCCCTCAACCCTCTTCTTTAGGCTTATTTATAGGCTCAAAAAGGACTTTGGTCATTAAATATTCATTATTATATAAATTTAAAAAAAAGAGAGTAAATATTAAATTCTCATTAAAAAAAATGAAATGAAAAAATACATTCCATATTT